GGAACCCAAAGACTTTCGGTTCAATGCCTTTCCTTGGCGGAGAGCGGAATCACTATCAAGCCAGGTAAATCATTTTTCGAATATAAAAATGAGGGCCCATTTCCTCTAAAAAATGGGTAGCAACTCCAACTCTTTGAACCGCCATGAGCTTCCCGGCAAAGTTGGGAACATTTTCGCCAGATTTCAAGAGCTTTGAGCAATCTTGTTAGTTCGTGTTTCATACTCTCATAGTGGGCTGCTATAGCAACTTGGAGAGAGGGGTGCCTAACACCTTCCCTCTCCCAATCTTTGGAACCCAAAGACTTTCGGTTCAATGCCTTTCCTTGGCGGAGAGCGGAATCACTATCAAGCCAGGTAAATCATTTTTCGAATATAAAAATGAGGGCCCATTTCCTCTAAAAAATGGGTAGCAACTCCAACTCTTTGAACCGCCATGAGCTTCCCGGAGCTCATAGATGGCAAAGGTGAATGGGGAATGCTCAGTTGTAGACGACTTTTAAAGAAGTAACTGCAAGGTGCTTCTCATCTCGGCCTACATCTGCTTTATGCGGTTGAAACGAGTCTCAAAATCGTACACCTTGTTGGAGAGGATTTTGATGTCAACTTGCTCGACTGATTCTTGGACGATTAGGTCTCCATCCTCTATGTTAACGTTGTCATGTTCATTAGGCTGTTCTTCTGGATTAGGGGAGAGGTTGATTCTATGGGCGGCCATCCTTCGTGATCAAGGAAGAACCAAAGATTCTAATGTGAGTGTGGTGGTAAGGCTACATATGGGGGTCTCCTTAAAAGACGAAGGAAGGCTAAAGGCAAAGGGTAGGCTAAAGGCTCTGACTGACAGAATGATGTTCTCGTTATGAATTAGGCCTCCTTTTATAGGGAGCGATCTCGAGGTCCTGAAAGGAAGGACCCAAAAGTGTTTTATTCCCACTAGGAAAGGGAATCTTTGATTCGGTGTCAATTGTCAAGGGACACCTCTAGGGTTTTGCCACATGTCTTATGAGATCGCTACAGGACAAGGTTTTCTTTCATCCGAGGATTCTCATAATACACATATGGTATTTCCTTTTGCGAGTCTCTTAAACTAGCGTGGCACGGATGACATCAATACTAATCTTATGTGTCTTTTCTAATCTTACTGGGCGTTCTGTCATGAGTGGCATCAGTAAGTCATGTGTTTCTTTGTTCACCTCTGACCTGCAATGGTCGTGAACTCATCGCAGGTTCTCGATGACTTCGATCTCATCGCAAACTCGCGATGGCCTTGTCTTCATTACAAGTTTATACAGGCTTTGAGCTCATCGTAGATGTGTGTCGAGTCATGAACTCGTCACAGGTATCTTTGTGGCATCGATTTAGCACCTTCTGCGCTATTGTAGTTGTGGTGATAAACATGTACATACACATATCATGGAAGACACTTGTCATTGATCTTTGGTATGTGACCCCAATTCTTCAAACTGAAGGGCATCATCTTTTAGTAAAAGTTCCCTATTGGCGTCCGGAACACCATATAACGTGCATCTACGAGGTCCATGTAGATCTGATTATAGCCACTATACACATCTAGGAAGAAGAATAGTTGGTTCCCGAACGTAGCATCAATGAGGATTTCCATATTAGGTAGTAGGAATTCATCCTTCGGGCAGCTTTGTTCAAGTCTCTGAAGTCTACACAACACCTAGGGTAAGAGTGAAAGGAAGTTAGTGCACTAGACCCTCAATAATGGTTATGAGCCAGTGTGTTGGGATCTGGATACTAACCTTAACTGGCCATTTTTCTTGTTGATTGTGGGTGAGTGATTGGCTTTATGAAGCCTACTTTAAGAAGTCATTCAACTTCCTCTTTGATCTTCAAGGCTATTTCTGGTTTGAAGACATGTTGTGGTTGTTTCATGAGTCTGAATTTGGGATTGATGCAGAGCGAATGCTTGACTAGTGTTAAGTTTAGTCCGGGCATCTAGTCGTATGACCAAGTGAAAACATCCTAGAATCCTATTATAGGAGAAGAAACACTTTAGTCACGTTTGGCAAGTCCTCTAGTTTTGCGATTATGATGGATATTTAGTACCTTTTAAGAGATCCAACAATTTTCTCTTCTCTTTAGGGTCTAACTTGGCCGACGCATACAACAACTTCCTTTCCATTCCTTTGGTGGCCATGTTAACTTCTTCCAAGGGTTCTTCTATGGCACCATTTGAGTTTTGCATGTGCTTAGGGGGCGCGTGGATTCCATCATAGTATTCCATTGTTTCTTTAGAATGGTCATGTTATTAGTATTGTCTTAGTATTTCTCTTATCACTAATGGATGTTTATGGATATTAATTCATGTACCTTTAGTGCTATTGTGTTTTATTGTTTATGTTCAAGTTCTACTTGCGATCAGAGCATCGCGATGTCTTTGCATGGTGATTTCATAGTTGAGCCTTTAATGTAGTAGTTCTGACCGAGACAAGATTTAAAATGCATATATATATATATGCTCATTTTCTTTTTATTGTAAAAGCAAACCGATTACAATGATTAACTGATTTTTGAAAATAAATTGAGATACGGTAAGACAAATCATACCTCCAAAACAGCTTTCTTCGTGGTTGGGGCATCAGCTTCTTCATACTCTTCTATGATGGTATAATAGCTCCCTCCATTTTCGTCTGTCATCCACAAACACCTAGATCGCTTCTTTCTCTCCAAAGCCGTTGGAGGCTCATTCACCGGGTCTAACAATCGCACAGTTTCTACTTTTGCTACCTGAGTTTCTCCTTCTTCAGTGAGCTTTGTGTAATATATGTCATCCTGTAGGTGGGCCTCTGAACTATGAAATGGGACGCGAGGGCCTCTGAACTATGAAATGAGCTTTGTTTGACTAAAATATCATAACTTTTTAATTTAGTCCATCTATAATTGCAAGGACAAAAATGTAACTTGAACAACCACTTCTCTCCTCATTCAAATCCCTCTCATTAAGTCTTATATTTAAAGTATTAACTCCCATTCTCATTCATTGAATCCTATTTTTGACTACAACACCCCTATTTTTGAATTTGGTCCCTCTCTAATTATGAAGGCACAAAATGTAATTTGAACCACTACATTTCTCCTTATTTAATTCCTTCTCATTAAGTCTTATATTTAGGTATTAACTCTCATTCTCTCATTGAATTCCATATTTAAGTTACTATTTTCTCCAATAAATTTTATCAATTAGATCTATATCCCATACTTTTAGTGATATAAAATACATGCTTTTTCAATTTGAGCGAAAAAGGGAACTATTCTTCCATCATGGTGGCGAGTAATAAATTTAACTATTTAGGTCAATGGGGTCAATTCATGATGTCATAATTAAATAAAAACTTTTAAAATAAAATTAAAAATTATATAAATAAAATAAGTATGATAAATAACAATTATTCCTATTAATGTTGGAATGAAATATAAATTTAAAACCAATAGAAAAAAGTTATTTTTGTGGTGGAGGGTCAACAATTCAATCTTTTTGGTTAAATGTGTCAAACCTTGATATCATAATTAAATAAAAAATAAAAAGATAAAAAAACAAAAATATTATGTAATAAGATAGTAATTTTGTGAAAAAAAACTTTGGTACTTTATCTAATATTTTATATTAATCATATTAAAGAAAAATAAGTATGTTAAATAATAGTTGTTTTTATTGATATTGTAAATAAATTTTAAAATTTAAAACCAACCCATAAATGAAATTGTTTTCTTGGTGGCAGGTCAACTATTCAACCTTTTTGGTGGTATATGTGAACCCTTGATCTCATAATTAAATAATAAAAATAAAAAATATATAAATACAAAAAAATGAAAAGTATAGAAAACTCTATAGAAAACATTTTGGTGCATCTATAATAGTTTATATTAATCATATTTAAAATTCAACACAATAAACAAAAATTGTTTTCAACTTTTATTGATGATAGAAATAAAATACAAAATTTAAAACTAACTTGAAAGTGAAATTTTTTTATTGTTTGATGGTAGAATAACAATTTAGCCTTTCAAGTCAAATGTGTCAACCTTTAAAGTCATAATTAAATAATAAAAGTTAAAAAAGATAAAACACATAAAAATATATAAATATATAAATTATATAAAAACATTTGGACATATTTTTAATATATTATATTAATTAACCATATTGAAAAAAATAAGTGTGACAAAGAATAATTATTTTTATTAATGATGGAAATAAAATACAAACTAAAAACCAATCAAAAAATGGAGTTGTGTTTCCCATTTAATGATAAGTCAACAATTCAACCTTTTGGATCAAATGTGTCAATCTTTAATATCATAATTAAATAATAATAAAATTAAAAAATACGAAAAAAATATAAAAAATATTTGAAAACATTTCTAAGATCAATATATTCATCATATTAAACAAAACTAAGCATGACAAATACAGAATAAGTTTTATACATATAAAAATATATAAAATTATAACAACTTTTAGAAACATATTAGTTATTACATCATTGCCATCATAAAAAATTGTCATAAAAAATGCATACTTTGACAGTTATATCAGAAGGGGCAAATGCCAGAGAGAACGGATTAATGCTCAACAATACTCACAGCCATTTGCAACCGTGCATTGTGAATATCTCCATCAATGCGCAGCTACGGCTGTGAAGACGATTTGAGTCCGAGTTCAATGCTAGAGTCCAAAGTGGGTTTTTGTTGCAAAAGAAATCAAGTTCCAGTGCTAATGTCATTTTAAACGCCTGGTTTAAGGTGATATAAGTACTGTCCAATATTTACCCATGGCCAAATTATTTCTTGTTTTTTATTTTATTTTTTATTTTTTATTTTTTTCCCGCTTCAGACCACTGTGTTGGGACCATGACCACCCAACAAACAAAGCCCCAGTTCAAGAGGATCAAACGGCTGAGAGGCAAGTGATTTTGGAAACATCGCTCAATTTATATATATCAGGGAACATTAGAAATAAAAGTTAAAATATAAAAAAAAAAAGAAACAGCAATAGAGTGATAATTTTTTGAGAGAGATGACGGAAATCACAAACCGGAGATCGCTGCGGTTCCTTGTCTTCTTCTCCTCGATTTGTCTGCAATTGATTTCAGGTTCGTTTCCCTGGTCAACGTTGTGGAAAAGAAAGTAAGAATAGAAGAAACCCTTGTTTTCTGATTCACACGTTTTCTTGTTTAATTATTTCTTTGAACGATCAGAAAACAAGGTCCACGCTTGAATCGAATATATTTTCTCATTAGTGCTTCAGAGTAGCATACGGATCTCGACATCATCTATAATTCATAAATTTCACATGCTCTTGTTCAATTCTGTTCCCGCGTTCAGGTTATTGTTCTTCCGAATCATGCTCAGCATTTAGTGAAATTTCTAGTAATTGGATCTCGGTTTCTGTTTATTGGGGGTTTTTAAGTATTTCGTAGCTGGTAATTTATGGTGATCAGTCTTTGATTTCTTGATTTCTGGTTTTAATTTTGTTGAAGGCTATACAATTCGATAATTTTGGTTTGTGGGTTTGCTAATATCTGCCATTTTATGCTTCTCTTTGAGTGTTCGTATCTGATTTTTGTCCTAAACTGCTGATATTGAGAAAATTGTGGTAAAAGTGGAATTCATTTAATCAATGAACTTTGGTGCGACTTAGGTTTTGATAATGCATTAGTATTTGGGGATTTTGCTTATAATCCTTTTATAAGTTATTACGATTTGTATCTACTGATAGAGTCACACCTTGGGAACTCACTAATTTTGAATTTCGTTCTCATTTAATTACTAAGCTAAGATGTTTACAGCTATGAGATGGGTGGTCAGTGCAAAAGATCTTATGGAATGCTCAGAAGTGTTTCTATCATTTAAATGCATCCTTTTCCTTTTCATGATCATTGTTTTTATTATCATTAATTATTGTAAAATGAATATTATTGGCATTCTATTTGCATGATCCATTAAAATGATTGCATTACATTATCCTTATTCTATTCCTCATTGTTGGAATGTTCATTAAGCTTAATTTATCTGAAATACAAAAAAATTGTCTGTTCCTATAATTAATTGGCATTCTATTTTGTTTGAAAATCTTTGAATGCACTTTTAGAATCCGATCATGTAATACATATGCCTACTTGCTCCTTAAAATCATGGATTTACCAACAAATGAATTGATGTAGTTCCTCTGAAATACGTGTTTTGAGAGTTAAATTTCATATTTGAACACCTTCAGTATGTTTCTGGAATTTTTCTTTAATTTTCAGTCCTTCAGTTGGTTAGACATTTTCTCATTCTTCTCAGGCTTGGCCAAAGACCCATCAAACTCTGATAATGGGATAAAAACTGAGACCCGTGCTGCTTCCAATCAGGGTACTGGGCTTAGGGTATTTATAATATGCCTTGGCGTGATTGCTCTTGTGGCATTTTCTGTATTTCTATTCAAGCATTGGCAAAAGAAGAAAAGAGAAGAGCAGCATGCTCGCCTTTTAAGGCTGTTCGAAGAAGATGATGAGCTAGAGCTTGAGCTTGGTCTTCGGGATTGAGACCTGTTCTATTTTGGGTGTAATTTAGCTGAGGTACATTTCTAAAGTCTGATAATATGAAAACCCATGCTTCCACTGATTTATATCTTTTACATTTGAATTGTGGTATTCTTGATGTAACTTTATAACTTGTCATTTTTGATGCACTATCTAGTCTACCAAATTATAAGAAAATTTTACGTTTTTGGTATGTTTCACCTAGAGTTTTAAAAGGTGTACCTTAGGTGGACCTAGGCTCACAATCTATGTTAGCCAAATACGGAAAACTGCTGGATGTGGTATTGGATATGAAGATATCATAGCTCAACTCTCAAGTGTGTCTAGTTTTATTGGGTTTTCCTTATCTTATCCTAGGTACACTTCAAAGGAGGACGGAAGGATAAAGTATTGGAATCAAAGGAGGAGCTAATTGGCAGATATTCAATATCAATAAAGTTTAAGAATGTGGAGATTGATTCACTTGGGTGTTAACTAATGTATATGGACCAAATAATTATAGAGGGAGGAATGAAATGTGGAAGAACTGTATGCAATTTGGGGGTCTGTAGGAGGGTGCATAGTTTTTGGGAGGGGATTTTAATGTGATAAGATTCTCCAATGAAACTTCTAATCCTTGTTAATCAATTACCACCAATATGAAAAGATTTAATGAATTCATAGACTTGTGTGAATTGAAGGAAATTCCTCTCTTGCAAGCTAGGTTCACTTGGTCCAACTTTCAAGAAAACCTGTTGTTTTCAAAATTGGATAGGTTTGTCTTCAATAGAGGATGGGAAGTCATTGGGAAGGTTTGATATCTAGAGCATTGCCTAGAGTCACTTCGGATCACCACCCCATTAGATTAGCTTCAAAATCTTTTTTTTGCATGGTCCTACACCCTTTAGATTTGAAAATATGTGGCTGGCATATCCAGATTTTGTTTGCAAAGTGGAGGAATGGTGGAAGGAGGATTTAAGGGGGGTAAGATGGGAGGGAATAAAATTCCACAAAAAATTGCAAAGATTGAGATTTAAAATAAAGGAGTGAAATAGAGAACATTTTGGAAGAATAGAAGAAAGGAAATTGACTCTAATTTCTAAGATTGAAGAGTTGGATGAAAGGGAAAGGAAGAGAAACCTTATTGTGGAAGAAAGGAAACTGAGAGAGAAGTTGAAAAAGGAATTAGAGGAAGTCCTCAATAGGGAGAAAATCTGTTGGAGACAAAAATCAAGACATAAATGGATCAAGGAAGGAGATGGGAATACAAAATTCTTTCATGTGGTAGCCAATGGTAGAAGGAACAAGACTTTTGTGGCTAGGTTGGAAGTAAATGGGGAAGTAATCTCTAATCAAGATGAGATAACCACGATCTTTGTGGACCATTTCAAATCCTTTTATAGAAGACCTATGGAAGAAAGATTGAATATAGAAGGGATAGAGTGGCCTTTACTAGAAGAGGGGGAAGCAAGGTGTCTAGAAATGGATTTTGAGGAAGGAGAAGTAAAAAGGACAGTATTTTCTATGGCAGATCTAAAGCACCGGGTCCGGATGCTTTACAATGGCTTTCTATCGGGATTGTTGGGAAGTGGTGAAAGACGAATTATTTGAAGTCTTCAGAGAATTCTCGAAGACACATTGTTATCCCTGGAGTTAATGCAACTTTCCTGGCCTTAATTCCTAAAATGCCTAATGCTAGCCAACCCAAGGATTTCTGACCCATTAGTTTGGTGACCATTATCTACAAAATAATTGCTAAGGTCTTGTCTTTGAGGATTAAAGTGGTATTTCCATCCCACATAAGTTAGTTTCAAGGAGATTTTGTGCAAGGGAGATAAATAATTAACCAAATCCTAATATCCAATGAATGTGTAGAGGAAATGAAGAGATCTAGGAAGGAAGGTTTTGTTTGCAAATTGGACCTAAAAAAGGCATATGACTCATGCCTTGGTGGATTGGAAATTCTTATTAGAGGTGATGCAACAGCATGGATTGGGGAGAGATAGTGCAATTGGGTGTTTGGTTTTATTCGTTTTTGTCACTTTTCTATCCTTGTTAATGGAGTGGTTAAAGACTTCTTCCTAGCTTGTAGAGGATTAAGGCAAGCAGATCCTCTCTCACCCTTCCTTTTTACGTTAGTGGATGTGTTTAGTAGACTCTAGACTCCTCTCTAAGGCTGATAGGGAAAATGAGGTTAGGGGCTGGAGAGTGGGCAGAAACAATGTTCCAATTACTCGCCTCCAATTTGTAGATGATATCATAATATTTTGTGAGAGGGTGATATTAGGAGGGTGAGGAGATTAAAAGAATTCTCAAACCTGAAATTCAACTTAGAAAAGAGTTGCTTAGCATGGATTAACATGGGGGACAATGACAAACTTGGTAGCGGGCTGCTTAGAGTGTCCTTTCACCCCTTGCCATTGACATATTTAGGTCTTCTTTTAGGAGCCAACCCTAAGGCTCTGTTTGGTTTGAAGGAAAATGTAGGGAAAGGAAGGGAAAGATAGGGAAACTCATAAAAGGTTTGTAAAGGTTTCCCTACCTTTCCTTACTTTTTCCTTCAAACCAAACACAGCCTAAGGGAAGTAGATTCTAGAACCCAATTGTAGAAAGATGTGAAAAAAGATAGGCTGCTTGGAAGAGGGACTATATTTCGTTGGGAGGTAGGATCACCCTAGTAAGATCAACTTTGAATAACCTACCAATCTATTTCCTCTCTGTTAGAGTCAGCTGTTGAGGGGTAGTATAGTCAATTTACATTGTTTTATATGCAGATGTAGTTATAAGTAGATCATAAGTTAAGTGATGTTTCCCACACTTAAGTGAGGGCGCAATAGACTTTGTGCAATGTTTTAGAAAGCTATAAATAGAACTGGCCGACTAGAGAGAGATCTCTCAAGTTCGAACCAGACTTTGTTTTCTCTTCTTCTCCTCTTCTCTTCTCTTCTCTTTAATATTTCTCTAGTATTTATTTCTATTCATTATATCAAACCTAAGAATATCACTGGTCTGAACTTTATCATGGTATCAGAGCCAATATAATCTAGTTCAGACCAACCCAGTTTTCTCCTTTTCAGCGCCTATCCTCCTAGGTTTTTACAGGTCTCTCACTAACCGATAGGAGATTCATAGAGAGGCTAAAAAGGAGTGATCGTTTCCTTGTTATGGAGGTTTCCATGCCTCCAATGGGTGGTGTTGTGGCTGTTTTGTGTGGTTGGTAGAAAACATTCTATTCGATTTGAAGAGGGCTGGTTTCAGTGGTTTAGTTGAATGACAGCACAAGTCTGATTTGTAAGAGGGTTCAAATAGGTAGGTTGCATGAGTGTTATAGGGAGGAATAGATTTCGATGTGTTGCAGAACCTTATACTATTACGTGAGGTGTATTTTGGTGGTTTATGGTGCTGAAAGTGGAAGACAGCAGTGCTGTTGTTGCTGAAAGTGGTGAACAAAAGTGAATGTTGTTGCTGGAACTTGTGACAGTAAGTACTCTAACAATAATAAGCTGTTGGGGTGTAGTGTTGTGACTTTTAGTGAAGTGGAGTGACATACTAGTGATAGTTTTTTTTGGCAGCCATGGGAGACGGCAGTGAAGAAAAGTCTACTGTAATGGTTCCCTCTGATTATTTGAATGTGTAGATGACACCTATCAGACTAAATGGTTGAGAATTATGTGCCTTGGGCTAAATCTGTTGAAGTTTTTCTGGAAGATAAGAAGAAAGTGAAGCATGTGAAGGAAGATAAACCCTCATATGACTCTTAGGGGTACAATGAGCGGGAGCAAGATGATGCATAGATTATGACGTGGTTATTGAATAGTATGGAACCCAAGATCAGTTTGAACTTTATGTTCTTAGATACAGCCAAGGAGGTTTGGGATCATGAAAAGAAGCTTTATTCTAGACAAGACAAGACAACTAGGGTTTACCAACTGTATCATGATTATTTTAATCTGTAACAGGGTAATCAAAGTCTTGAGGAATATTATGCTAGTATGAGAAATCTTCGGAATGAGTTGAATGTGTATCACCCCCTTACATCTGACGTCAAGATTCAGCAACAATAGAGAGAGCAGTTGGATGTCACTAGATTCTTAGTAGGGTTAAAGTCTGAATATGAACCGGTGAGAGCACAAATACTGGGAGGGTCTGCTCTTCCCTCTCTTGAAGAGGTGTTTTCCCGTCTCCGGAGGATCTCAGTTGGACCTATGGAGAATTCCATTATATCAGATATGTCTATGTTTGTAGTCACAAGAGGGGGAGGCCGTGGAGGTAGAGGAGGAGCCTGAGAGGTTCAGCCTGGTCGTGATGGTGGTGGTGGACCCATGTATGCCCATGATGGTGGTGGACCCATGGGCAAATCATGCAGTGACTACTGGTGGTGGTTTGTGATAAGAAATCCAACAAACTGATCGGATACCCCCTACATCTATGGATGCCTCTGGAAAGGAGATGATGAGTGTCCCACATGATGAGACAGATGAGTATGAGCGGTTTATTCAGGCTACATATCAACAGAACGGCTACCCTTGCACACTCAGGTATGGCTTGTCTGGCATCTAAACCTTCCCACTGGTTTATCAATTCTAGAGCCTCTGATCATATGATTGGGACTCCAGGTGTGTTTTCTTCCCTTTCTCAGTCCTCCACATCACACTCTGTTACTCTTGCTAATGGTTTCACATCTTCCATATGTGGTGTTGGTAATGTTGACATAGATTCATTATCCCTATCCTCAGTTTCGCATGCTCCCAAGTTTCCCTTTAACTTTATGTCTGTTAGTAAATTGATCAAGTCTCTTAATTGCTCTATCACATTTTACCCTTTATCTTGTATTTTTTAAGATCCCAAGACGGGGATGAAGGTTGGTGGAGGGCATGAAGTTGGTGGACTGAATTACCTTGATGGAGGTGGTTCGACAACAACCCTTCAGAGATCTCTTTCTCTTCAATGGCATTGCAGACTTAGTCATCCATCCCTCAAAGCACTTAAGTTACTTGTTCCGTCATTGAGTTGTCTTTCTACTTTGGATTGTGAGTCATGTCAGTTCGAGAAACATC